GGCTGGGGAGGCCGTGGTGGGGGCGCGTGGGGGTGATGGGTGGGGGTGGCTCGGGGCGGCCTCACGCCAGGGCCGGGTCGCTGCCTTTGTGTTCTCTGCTGGGCAGGTGGGGGCCACCCAGCCCTGGGCCGCGGGCATGGTGAGCCCCAGCCTCCTTCCTGCCAGGGGCTGGCCGCTCCGCTCAGCCTGGGCTCCAGTGGTCCCCAGGTGACACGCCTCAGCGTCCACGACCCCACCCCCACCCCAGGCACAGGGGTTCTGCAGGCCTTGCCCGTCCCTGGGGCCCAGGCCTGGGCGTGGTGGAGGCGAGGGTCAGGGTTCCCCAGAACCACAGCGGCTCTCCTTGGGGGATGGACGCGTGCCAGGGTGGGTCTCCGGGGGGGCCCAGGGGCACTGGTGTGAGGGGTTGGGGGGTTGAACACAGCCACAGGGTCTCTGAAGTGTCACCTTGAGGTGGCCCCAGGCAGGGACAAGGGCCAGTGGCCTCAGGCCCTGGCCCCGGCAGCAGCCCCAGGGCGACCAGGGGTGGCAGGAGGAAGCCCGCAGGCTCCAGAGACCTCCCCAAGCTAGGCTGGGGGGGGCCGGCCCGCCCAGCTTGACCCCCAGGCGCCCGCCCCGCCCCGCGACCCAGGCCCACCACCCCGCTGGGTCCTGCTCAGGCCTCGGTCCTCTGGCCCTGGTCTGTCCTCCTTCCGCTAAGAGCTGGGTGCGGCCAGGTCCCGGCCAGCCGGACCTCCTGGAGAACGCTCGCTGTCCCGAGGGCCTGGAGCCGCCCCTGTCCCCCCCGGCTCCCACGCGGCACCTCCCGGCGCGGGGCCTGCCGGGGGCTGGAGCTGTCCTGGCCCAGGGTCAGGGCCGCGGACTGTGGCCTGAGGGGCCTCGGCGCTGGGGCGCAGCGTGGACGCCTGCGGGAACTCGCGGGCCAGGAAGTAGTAGCAGATGGCGTCCAGGCAGCAGTTGGCGTTGCACAGGTTGTTGGTGAGGTGCAGGGCGAACTGCAGCGGGCAGGCGGGCAGGTCCCAGGCCAGGCGCGCGGTCAGCACCAGGTGCAGGGGCAGGAAGCAGACGACGAACACCGCCAGGTTGGCCCAGACCACGCGGGCCGCCCGGCGCGAGGCCGCCACCTGCGCGGCGTCGGCGGCCGGCCTGCGGGCCAGGGCGCCCAGCACCTGCAGGGAGCAGAACAGCAGCACGGCCAGCGGCGGGTAGAAGCCCAGCAGCCCCCTCTCTGGGAGCCTGAGCTGCGGCCTCGGCAGGGCCCTGGTGCTGCCCTGAGCTGGCCACACGCTGACCCCAGGGCCCAGGCTGAGCATGGGTCGGGGGCTTGGAGGAACAGGCAGGCCCCTGCGCCCCAGGCCTGCCCGGCAAGCTGCGCCTGAGCCGCCTGCAGCCCCGCACCCCCAGACCCGCCTCAGCTCCCGTGTCTGGGCGCCCTGGGAACGCTCCTCCTGGGCAGCTGAGTTTGGGGTCACCCGCCCTCCTGCCGGCGTCCCCGTCCAACCTCGTCTCAGACTCAGCTGGACCTGTTGAACTGCCGTGACCGCTGCTCCTTTGGGCCCTCACCGGTGCTGGCCCGAGGCTGGCTGGGCCTCCCCCAGTGCCCAGGGAGCTGCCCCGGCCGGTCCTGAGGCCTCCGGGCCGCCGGGGTTTGCGCTGCTGGGGGCCCTGCCCTGCGCCCCACAGGCCCCACAGGCCCAGGAGCCACCTGGGGCCAGATGGGCCGAGCCGCTGGTGGCCACCCCCGCCCGGGAGCCGGCGGGCCTGGTGCCCGCCACGATGCCAAGCCGGGCTCTGGCACCTGCCCAGCTGCCCGCTCCCTGGACGCCACCTGCAGGTGAGGGGCCACGGCCTCTTCCGCA